CAAACGGGGACACGCCACGGCGCGTCCTCGTGGGGTGACCCCGAGTTCCCTGCGGATTGCCGGGGAGGGAAAGAAAACCGCAGCGGTGCATCCTCGGCAGCTGCTGAGGGGTGGGGACAACGTGGGGACAGAGGGAGCGGGGCTGTGCGGCGGTGGGGGGGTGGGTCTGCGGGGGGGACTTCCTTCCTCCGCCAACACCTCGAGACCCCCGAAGCGTGCGGGCAGCGGGGACCCCCTGCTCCTCCTACACGGGGCGTGGGCCGGATGGGGACGGTGGTTTGAAGGGGGGGTGGGGGGGGAGCGGATTTGGGCTACGGGGTTGGCATTGCCCTTTTAAGGGGTTCCTTGAAACCGCGTCCGGGTTCCATGTTTGTAGCAAAAAACCGTGCGGAGGAAACTCCATGTTGTAACAAAGTTTCCTCCGCCGCTCCCCGCGCCCGCGCCCGCCGCCCCGCGCCCGCCGCCCGCCCCCCCCTCCCCGCCCCGCGCCCCTCCCGCCCCCCCCCCTCCCCCTCTTCCCCGGGGGGCCGAGCCGGGGGGGGGCAGCTCCGCGCTCCTGCCCCCCCCTCCCCTCCCCCCCCATGGACCACCAGTCCATCATCACCCAGGTTAGCAAGGAGGAGGTGACCGCCCCGCTGCAGGAGAAAGGTAATGCCCCCCTCCTCAAAACAATCCGGCATCGGGACCCCCCCACATCCCCTCCTCCCCCCTTCCTCCCTCTGTGGGCTTTGCTTTAGGGGAGGGTCGGGGGGGCTAAATCTGGAAAATCACTTCTCGGCCCCCACCGCCGCTGTGCGTCCACCCCCTCCCCCCCAACTCCCCCTCAACCTCCCTCCCTTCCCGCTGCATGGCACTATGGGGTACGCGGTGACAGCCCAGCCTCCCCCCCCCGCCATGTCTGCTATAGGGCCAAGGGTCAGACGCTTCGCTCCGCGTTGCGCAGAGCCCCCCACGCGCCAACCCTTCCCCCCCCCCTCCGTGCGCGGCGACGGACGCGGAGCGTGCGATGAGTTGCGGTTGGCCTCAGCTGGAGTGCGGCCCCGTGGGGCTGCGTGCACAGGGACGGGGCCGCGGGGACACGGGGAGGGGGCTTCGTCTGCACTCCTCCACGCGTCATTCCCCGTCTGCGTCCCTTCTGGGGCGATTCGGGGAGAGCGGGGCGGGGGAAGCGCCGCGGGGAATCTGAGGCACGGAGAGACGCGGCTCCGTGGGGTCCCGGCGTGGGATCGCGGGGGGGAGGACGGGGGGGCAGCCCCTGTCCCACTGTGGGGGTTCCCAGGGCTCTGCGAGTCTCGGAGGAACAGAACCGTGAGGGTCGGCGGCCGTCCCACCCCCCGGGAGCATCCCTGCCCCATCCCGGCCCCCGGGCTTGGGCTGGGGCAGGATCCGGCCGCGCTGAAAGTGTCCGTGCCTCAGTTTCCCTGCGATCCACCAATGGGGGGCTCAGGAAACGGCACCCAGGGGGGTGTGCTTCACCGCGATTGGCTCCTCGCCTCCGGGACGTTTGCACCAGCCAGTGAGGAAGCTGAACTGTTGGCGGGGAGGCGGGAAGAAGGATGGCTAGGCCCCTCCCCTTCTGCTAGGCCCCGCCTACGGCACAACCCACGCGTGTCCGTGGGGTCTCAGCACCCCCCAGGGGGGTTGCCCACCTCGAGGAGTTCTCCCCCAGCTTCAGGAGAGGGCAGCTATTGTAGGATCCTGGTGGTGCCCCAACCCCTATCCTGCTCCCCAAACCCACAGGTGCCCAGAGCCCCCCAGCCGCTGCCAAGAAGCCTCGGGGCCGCAGCATCCTCCAGTCCCTCTTCTGCTGCCTGTGCCACGATGATGCTGAGCCCTTCTCCGTCAACAACAACGCCCCACTGCTGGTGGAGGAGAATGGCACCGTGCCCAAGGTACCCCTTTCCAGAACTCCTACCCCAAAATGGGGGCGGCTCCAGGGGCACTCGGCTACCGTGCCCCAGCCCCCTTATAACTAAAGAAGGAGACGCTGCTGCCTGACCTGGGCACAAGGCAGAAGGGAAGGGGGTGCCCCTTGCCCCCCCCACCGACCCCCTGGCTGTGCCCCCCTGCTGCAGGCTGCAGTCAAGCACCTCCTGCCCGAGATCAAGCCTCAGGACGCCAGCAAGCTGTGCGTGGTCATCGACCTGGACGAGACACTGGTGCACAGCTCCTTCAAGGTGGGAGCACCACCATTGGGGTGGGAGGGAGGTTTATGGGCCACGGGAACCCCCCACCCCACACTGACCCTGCTGTGCTCTCCGCAGCCGGTGAACAACGCTGACTTCATTATTCCGGTGGAAATTGATGGTATCATGCACCAGGTACGGGGCTGTGCGGTGAGGGCTTGGGAGGAGTTTGGGGGTCTGGTGGGGTGCCCCCCAAAGAGGCTGGCGCTGGGTTCAAGTAATCCAGGATAGGCTGTGGTCTGGCAGTCAGCCTGTTCTAGGTTACTTGGCTCCGGAGCCTGCCCGATGCTTCACCCTGGAGATGCCAGGGACAGTGGGCACCCCCTGACTGTCCCCAAGTGGTGTCCCCTCATTCCAGCACAGGGCATGTCTCCTCCCTGCTGCTGACTGGGGTCAAGACATGGTGCCCTTTGGGGTGCGGGGCTCTTCCAGGGTGGTCACACAGGGGTGGTACTGGCAACCCCCTTAGGGTTAGGGTTATGTGCCGCTGGGTCCCTCAGTGCCTGTGCCTGTAGGTGTATGTGCTGAAGCGGCCACATGTGGACGAGTTCCTGCAGCGCATGGGAGAGCTGTTCGAGTGCGTGCTCTTCACCGCCAGCCTGGCCAAGGTGAGTGGCAGCTCCAGTTACACTGTTGTCCCCTTCTTTGGGCACCATGGTTCCCCTACAGCCACACACCTATGGGCATCACTGGACCTTTGTCCACCTCTGGCCCTTGGTGACAAACCCATGGGCACCTCTGGACACTGGATGTCAGTGGTCCCTCTTGGTGACCACCCATGAGCACCACTGCGTCCCCATTGGCCGCCCACCCATCGACCTTGGGACCACCAGACTTTGGCCACCATTTATCTCCCTTGCCCAACCGCCCATGGGGACCAATGAACCTTAACTGCCATGTTGGCCACCTCGATTCCCTTTGGCCACCCGCTGACCTCCCCTCTCCCCGCAGTATGCGGACCCCGTGGCTGACCTGCTGGATAAATGGGGGGCGTTCCGTGCCCGGCTCTTCCGTGAGTCCTGTGTCTTCCACCGGGGCAACTACGTGAAGGACCTGAGCCGCCTGGGCCGCGACCTGCGCCGCATCATCATAGTGGACAACTCGCCCGCCTCCTACATCTTCCACCCCGACAACGCTGTACGTACCCTGTGGGTGGGGTTGGTCCGGGTGGTGGCACAATGGGGCTACAAGGGATCCAAGGTCCTGAGTCGGTGGCCGTGCCCGCAGGTGCCGGTGGCCTCATGGTTCGACAACATGGCAGACACGGAGCTGCTGGACCTGTTGCCCTTCTTCGAGAGACTCAGCAAAGTGGACGACGTTTACACAGTGCTCAAGAAACAGCGGACTAACAGCTAGTGGTGCCCCAGCGTGGCCGGCGGTGGTGGCCCGGTGGCAGCCTCACTGGGGGGCCACGGGAGTCCCAGTGTCCCCCCATCACCACCCCATTCCCTGCTGCGATGGTCACGGTGGGTGCTCCACGCAGAAGGGGTGCCCGGGGGTGACCCGCTGGGGACATGTTTGGAGGGGTCCCGTCCTCTTGCTGCCCGCCCCCCCTCCCCCCTCCCCAAAATGGTTCTCAGGTCCTTTTCCCCTCTGCATCCCCCAGAGTGGGGAGGGGAGTTAAGCAGCTGCTGCTTTCCACTGCCTTTTGGGGGAACCTGGTCCCCACAGCCTTTGTCCAATGGGGGGGACTGGCAGCCCAAGTGTGGGTCCCATTGGTCTTGATGTCACTGCCATGTCCCCAGCTCTGCCTTCTGTGCAGCTGATAACTTCGGGGAGGCACCACTCCACACACCCCCTTGTGCCTTCTGGTGCCCCCTCCCCACCTCCAGGGTGCGCTTTGGGGGGGCTGAGCCCCTGGCTTTCAATGCCTCCATGTGCCTTGGGACGCCGTGTCTGTATGTGTCCCCCCTGCAATAGAGGTGCCTGGGGAGGGGATACAAAATCACCCCCTCCAACCTCACTTTCTTCCCGTGGGGGTGGGAATTCTGGTGGCCTCAAACCCCTCAGCCCCTCCCCCAGTGCTGCCGTGGCAATGGGGCCACTTCACTCACCAGCAGGGTTCCCCTGCCTTGTGGGGGGGCCACACACCCTCTATCCCAATCCCTTCTCAGTGTCACCAAAGGCTGTGACTCCCAATGGGGGTGGCCCGTAGAAGCCTTAATGTAATATCTCACCCCCCTCTCCATGGCCTTACGTGAGCCCTGTCCCCCTCCCCCTTGCCAGGGTCTCCCAGCCTCGAGGGGACGGAGGGCTCTCAGGAAGGGGGGTGATTTTTAAGTGGAGGGAGAGCATATCTTTTAGAGTCAATCTATGGACAATGATATATTTTTAAAGGGGGAAAAGCAACGGTCTCCCAAATAATCAAGGGTGCCTTTTTACCGCTGTGCCAGGGAATGGGGGAATCTTTTGGGGGAGGGCTTTTTTAACTCTCCATTACTGTCCGTCCGGCCCCTGCGGTGCTGCCCTTCTCCAAATGCTGGGGGCCAGGGTGAGGGCCCTCCCGGCTCTGCCTATGCCCCCCACCCTGCACCCTGCTCCTGCAGCGGGGTCCCACTCAGCACTTTATTGGCCACATCAGGCAGCACCCACGGGTGCGCCCCTGGGTGTGCGGGGGGAGGGGGGCTGGAGTTGGGGGTGTGGGGGCGGGGGGGCTGGGGACCAGTAAGTGCCTTGGTGTGATTAAAGCTGTCCAATCCTCCTGGAAATGGGCTGTGCTGAGCTGTGTGTGTGCACATGGGTATGCAATCGTGGCCTGTGTGTGCGTGCAGGTGTGCATTGCGCACACTTCTCTGCTGTATGTAGGTGTGTGCAAGCCCCATATGCAACGCATATGCCCACTGCAGGGACCCCTGCTTGGGTCTCATTGGATGCTGAGGGGGACTGTGGATACTCCCATACTCATTAAGGTGCCAGAGCGCCCAGTGTTGGGGGGGGAGCAATAAGAGGAGTTTGCGTGCCCCCCCAGCACAGTCACCAGTGCCCTCTTTGGCCCCACGCCTCTCCTCCTTAATGAAGCCTCTGTCCTCCTCCCCGGTAGCTGTGCTAATTGCTGAGTTCGTTAGCGGCCCTGCGTGGGGCCCAAGGAAGGGGCTCACTGCTGCTGTCCCCTGTGCCACACCGACGGGACACGGGCAGCAAGCGGGGGCTGCGCACTCAGGTAAGGGGGCACTGGTGTGGGACTGCACTGTGGAGAGGGAGGGTTTGGGGGGACAGAAGGCGTTGGGGAGCCCATCTCCTTGGCCTCGGGTGTCTCTTGTTCATGCTTGAGCCATCACCATCCCTTTGGTGATCCCTGGGGCTGCAAGGGCACAGGGTGCTGCTGGTGGCACAGTGCTGGCTCAGCAGGGTGGGGGCAATTATGCTGTGACAGTGCTGTGATAAGCTTGGGATAGGTGACGCCTTGGTGCCAGCATTCCACAGCCCCTCCTGCACCTCCAGGGCCACCCAAACGCTATCAGGCAGAATTAGGGTGGAAAAGGGCAGGGATGAAAGGGCTAGGGATAGCTCAGTCTCAAAACACCAGTTGTTGCTGGAGGAGTATCAGAACAACTGCATTCTAACTCTCCTGGAGAGTCCCCAGTCCCCATGGTGTTCTCTCTCTGGCCATCACCTGCTCCAACTGAGGGACCTCTGGCCACATCCAACCCATGGGGACCCCCAGCGCCAGGCTGGTGATGCCTTGGCACGCAGCAAAGCCATGGAATGAAACAGAAAGTGGATGGTTACAGGCGGGATCCGCCCCATGCTGGCAGCCCCATGCTCGGGTAGGGCAAATGGGACAATTGCCCCTTTCTATGGGGGTGGCTCCAACACAGCCCCATACGTTTTGGCTGCTTTGGATCCCCCATGGTTGGGATTGGGAGCATCTCTGCAGCCTGCTCGGTCCCCATCTCCCATGGGGACATGGCGCCACTGGGACATGCCCTGTCCCCTCCCCATGCGTGGGTTGGGATCGTGGTGGCTCAGTGCCATGGGAAGTGGGTGCCACCCAGGTGTCATTACCCCGAGAGTAACGGGGCTCTGTGGGGGGACCTTGAGAGATGTGGGGACCTTGACTCAAGGTTCTTCCTGCCCTTATATGGTGAATATGGGCTGGGACAGCTGGGGACAAAGGTCTCTTCTCTGCTGACACCCCAGCACTTCCCCTAGGTACGCGCACCTTGTGCTCAGCTCTGCGGGGAAGGTGAGGGGCTGGGGATGAGGGGACAGCACATCCCAGTGCCAGTACTGTAGGTGGCACTGGGATGGGGGGGAGAAGAGACCTGCTGGGGTTCACGAGGGGCTCTGTCTGATTGGGGCTTGGAGCTGGTGGGGGGCTTGGGAGGAGGACACGGCCCAGCAATGCCATGAGCACAGGGTATGTGATGTTGGGGTCGTGGAGGCTGCACATGTGCTCATCCATGGATGTGCATACACAGACCCATGTAGGATCGTGATGCCCATGCCACGAGCAGGGACAAAGGGAGAAGGGCATTGAGCTGTCACCCAGGTGTGGCTCTGCAGGAGGAATGGCTCACACAGCCTGGCCCTGTGCCCAGGAAGCAGGGCAGGATATGGGGACATGTGGACAGCGGGACACCACGGTTACCTTGCTCCCATTCACACCTGGCATGACCCAGGACCCCCACTCATCACTAGGAGGGGTTGCACCCTGCTCCCCCATTTCCCCCCCATGGCTCCAGGGGGGTTGACTACCTGGCTGGCTGTAGGACAGCAGATGGCTGCAGCCCAGCTCTTAATGAGGCTGCCTGCCATTAACCCTAACAAGGGTGCCGGCAACAGGTCCCCCTGCCTGCAGCCAACACCATGGTGGAGCTCAGCAAAAAGGTCACCGGGAAGCTGGACAAGACCACACCAGGCATCCAGATATGGAGAATTGAGGTGGGTCCCGCGGATATGGGAGGCTTTGGGTTTAGGACCCTGCGGGCTGCTCTGCTCACGTGTCCCTTCTTCCAACAGAACATGGAGATGGTGCCGGTGCCCACCAAAAGCTATGGCAACTTCTACGAGGGGGATTGCTATGTGCTGCTGTCGGTAGGGCGGGGTAGGAACTCGGGGTTCTGTGGGGTGCCCCAGACCTGGGGACACAGGGTGCATGGCTCCTAATGGGTTCCCCATCCTGTAGACACGTAAGACTGGGAGCGGCTTCAGCTACAACATCCACTACTGGCTGGGTAAGAACTCAAGCCAGGATGAGCAGGGGGCAGCCGCCATCTACACCACGCAGATGGACGAGTATCTGGGCTCTGTGGCTGTGCAGCACCGTGAGGTCCAGGGCCATGAGAGCGAAACGTTTCGTGCGTACTTCAAGCAGGGTCTCATGTAAGTTGCCAACATGGGTGTCCCACTGCTATCCTTCCTGCCTTGCCAGAAAGGTCTCTGTGAGAGTGGCAATGGGAAGGCTACCCCTGCATCAAGAAAAGGATAAATGTCACACTGTGAGTGACATGGTTTTGTGGTACGGAGGGGATGGGTTGATGGTTGGACTGGATGATCTTAGAGGTCTTTCCAACCTTAATGATTTTGTGACCCCATGGGAACGTCTCTACTGTGGGGAGGTGGGATATTGACCTGGATTCCATCTCACTCTGTCAATTACTCATACCAGTAATGATAGTGGTCGCCATGCATATGAGCAGGAGAAGATCCTTGCTGGAGTGGGAAGGGTGGCCTAAGGCTTATGTCGTATCCATGTCCCCTCAGCTATAAGCAGGGTGGGGTGGCCTCAGGTATGAAGCACGTAGAGACCAACACCTACAACGTCCAGCGCCTGCTGCATGTGAAGGGCAAGAAGAACGTGGTGGCTGCAGAGGTGAGACAGGGGATGTGGTCACCCCACAAACCCCCAAGCAGAATGGGGAGGAGTGCAGACCCTGGTGGGAGGGTTGCTGAGCAGGGGGACTGTGTGTGCCTGACTCACTCCGTCCTGCTGCAGGTGGAGATGAGCTGGAAAAGCTTCAACCTGGGCGATGTCTTCCTGCTGGACCTTGGCCAGCTCATCATTCAGTGGAACGGCCCTGAGAGCAATCGTGCTGAGAGGCTGAGGGTATGGGGGGATCCGGCTGCTCTGTGCCTCCAGCCCCCATGCTGGATCCTCACCGTTCTGATCCTTTCCCTGGGTGCAGGCGATGACCCTGGCCAAGGACATTCGGGACCGAGAGCGTGCAGGACGTGCGAAGGTTGGTGTGGTGGAAGGAGAGGACGAGGGGGCCTCACCTGAGCTGATGCAGGCCCTGACACACGTGCTGGGGGAGAAGAAGAACATCAAGGCAGCCACACCTGATGACCAAGTGCACGAGGCACTCAACAGTGCCCTCAAGCTCTACCAGTGAGTTGCTGGGGATGGGCCATACCTATGGAGGCATCTCATAGGGGTGTGAGGTGTCAGGGTGATACCATGATGTTGGCAGCAGGGAGTCTCACAAGTCCCATCCCTATGGATGGCAAGGGAGAAGGGACAAAGCCACCACAGAGGAACAGGTCCTTTGGGTGCCGTGGGAGCAGTGGGATCCCCCAGTGCCAATGGGGTTGGTACCTAACAGCTAGTACAGAGGTGCTCTTGCAAATGTCATGGATGCTTTCTAACACAGAGGCGTGTCCCTAGTAGAGCTGACTGTCCCCATCCCATCTGACATCCCCTTGTCTCTCACCAGCTCTTCCATGTTTGGGTTGGCAGTGGGGATGGAGGTGATGGCAATGGAAGTGATGTGGATAGAGATGGAAGTAGAGCTGGGCCCCCCAACCCCGCCACCCCTAGGTAGCATTGGGAAAGATGTTTTTCAGAACTGTTTCTACCTTTCTCTCCTCTCTCTGTGTCCACCAGTGTTTCTGATGCCAGTGGGAACCTGGTCATACAAGAGATAGCAATTCGCCCCTTGACTCAAGACATGCTCCAGCATGAGGTGAGATGCTCAAGAGCAGTGTCCATTTTCCTTGGCAGCTTTAACTCAAGTGCCCACCCAAGGTGCCTTTTGAAAGACTGAAGCTGCCCTAGGTTCTAATTTCTGCTGTCATCCGTCCTCCCAGGACTGCTACATCCTTGATCAAGCTGGTCTCAAGATCTTTGTGTGGAAGGGCAAGAATGCTAACAAGGAGGAGAAGCAGCAGGCAATGAGCAGGGCCCTGGTGAGTGCTTGGGGTGGTGTTTTGGGTTTGTTGTTCCTAGGAGAGGGTGGGTACTCCATGTCCAGGTACTGACTCTCCTCAGGGCTTCATCAAAGCCAAGAATTACCCGGCCAGCACCAGCGTGGAGACAGAAAATGATGGGTCTGAGTCCGCTGTTTTCAGGCAGCTCTTCCAAAAATGGACTGTTCCCAACCAAATCAGCGGGCTGGGCAAGACCCATACTGTGGGCAAAGTGGGTGAGTGCCATAGGGTGCTGGCCCCAGAGGACTGGGAGGATGCTGAAGGGGGTCCCCACGCCTGGCTCAGTCGTCACTCTTCCCCACAGCCAAGGTGGAGCAGGTGAAGTTTGATGCCACCACAATGCATGTCAAGCCTGAAGTGGCTGCCCAGCAGAAGATGGTGGATGATGGATCTGGGGAGGCAGAGGTAGGCTGTGGGAAAGAGGTGGGATGAATCCATGCGCTATGCTGGAAGATGCTATGGGAGTGCAAGTGCTGTGGGGCCAGGAATGCAGTGTGACACCATCCCACCAGGTCTGGCGGGTGGAGAACCAGGAGCTGGTGCCCGTGGAGAAGCGGTGGTTGGGTCATTTCTACGGTGGGGACTGCTACCTGGTGCTCTACACCTACTACGTGGGGCCCAAGGTGAACCGTATCATCTACATCTGGCAGGTGAGTCCCTGTCCCCTACCCAGGGCTCATCCTCAGTGGGACAGTGCAGGACAGGGCCACCCAGCCAGATGGCTCCAAGCACAAATCCCCTGGGGTCATTCCCTACCCCTCCATGGCCTCCCCATCCCACCTACATTTCCCAAAGAGAGAATGTCCTGACGCAGGGCCGCCACGCCAGTACGGATGAGCTGGCCGCCTCAGCCTACCAAGCTGTCATCCTGGACCAGAAGTACAACAACGAGCCCGTGCAGGTGCGCGTCACCATGGGCAAGGAACCAGCCCACCTGATGGCAATCTTCAAGGGCAAGATGGTGGTGTACGAGGTGAGTGCGGGGCTGGTGGCAGGGTGGGCAAACTGGTAGCTGTGTGACCTCTTCCTATCCCCACTGTTCCCAGAACGGCTCCTCAAGGGAAGGCAACACGGAGCCGGCATCCTCCACTCGGCTCTTTCACGTGCACGGCACCAACGAGTACAACACCAAGGCCTTCGAGGTGCCCGTTCGAGCTGCTTCTCTCAACTCCAACGATGTCTTTGTGCTCAAGACACCCGGCTGCTGCTACCTCTGGTATGGCAAGGTGGGTATGGCCTCGACCAACTCCTCCTCTATGTCCTCCAAGGGTTGGGGTGGGCTCAGTGCTGGAGCTGTGCCGCTCATGCTGTAGGGCTGCAGTGGGGATGAGCGTGAGATGGGCAAGATGGTGGCCGACATCATCTCCAAAACTGAGAAACCAGTGGTCGCTGAAGGGCAGGAGCCACCTGAGTTCTGGGTAGCTCTGGGCGGCAAGACCAGCTACGCCAACAGCAAGAGGTACGAGCTCTGTGTCCCCAGTCCCTCAATGGGTTCTCCTACTGCCCCCAGCCCTTGCCCAGTTCCCATCACAACCACGTCTCCCCACCAGGCTACAGGAGGAGAATCCCTCTGTGCCCCCCCGGCTCTTTGAATGCTCCAACAAGACAGGCAGGTTCTTGGCCACTGAAATTGTCGACTTCACCCAGGATGATCTGGACGAGAATGATGTTTACCTGCTGGACACTTGGGACCAGGTATGCTGGGGACATAAGGGCTTGTCCTGTTGGGGACAAGCTCACGTCCCCAACAGGATGAAGGACCTGCAGCAACCAGAGTTGGTGGGGTGGGAGCATGAAAACCCAATCCACATGGTTTTCATTGAGGATAGACTCCCAGCACCCATCCTTGGGGACAGGGGGTGAGGTCCAAAACAGCCATCCCTGTACTGGACATGGTGGCCCCATTGCAGGTTTTCTTCTGGATCGGGAAAGGTGCCAACGAGTCAGAGAAGGAGAATGCAGCAGTGACAGCACAGGAGTACCTGCAGAGCCACCCTGGCAACCGTGACCTCGACACCCCCATCATTGTGGTGAAGCAAGGCTATGAGCCCCCCACTTTCACCGGCTGGTTCATGGCCTGGGATCCCCTCTGCTGGAGTGTGAGTCAGGGGGTGGGAATAGCAAGGAGACTTTTGGAGATGGGGACGAGCCTGGATGTGGCCCCAGCTGAGCACTTCTATTCCTGCAGGACAAGAAATCCTATGATGAGCTGAAAGCTGAGCTGGGGGACAACGCCAGCATTGGGCACCTTGTGTCAGTGAGTGTCACAGGGAGAGGGGACACCTGGGGCAAGAGGGGGCTCTAGGCAACAGGGGAAGGGACTACTAGTGCACTTGGCAGGTGGCACAAGAAGCTGCAAGAATATTTTCACATGAAGGGACAAAGGTGTCAGTCCATGATGTGACTTTGTCCCTCCCACCCAGGGGCTCACTTCCAAGAATGAGGTCTTCACAGCCACCACCACACTTGTCCCCACCAAGCTGGAGACCTTCCCATTGGATGTGCTAGTGAACACTGCAGCTGAGGACCTGCCCCGGGGTGTGGATCCCAGCAGGAAGGAGGTGAGCTGGGGGGGGCTTGGGGAGGCCATGGCTGGGGGAAACCCTGCGGCTTGAGCTCAAGGTCTCCTTCCCCCAGAATCACCTCTCTGATGAGGACTTCAAGGCTGTTTTCGGTATGACCCGCTCTGCCTTTGCCAACTTGCCCTTGTGGAAACAGCAGAACCTCAAAAAGGAGAAAGGACTCTTCTAGGAGGGGAGGCTCAGCCTACAGCCATCCCAAGCAAGCAGGTTATTTTTACTAAATAAAATGGATTTGGAATGGGGCTTTGTGTGCTTCTCTGTCCACCCCAGCACCTGCAGCTCAGGACTAAAGGTCTCATACACAGCCCCAGGCACTCCCTCTGTTATCAGTGAGCTCATGCATAAAACTCAGTAAATACTTGGCAGTATCAAAGGTAAAAGCGACAAGCCATGGTACGGGAAGCACAGGGACAGCACCTGCTGGGACAGCAGGCATGGGGCAGGGCCTAAGGGGGGCAATGGGGGAGCAGAGTCACAGAGGCAGCAATGTGGGGTGCAGCACATGCCCTACAAGGGTTTTAGAATGCTGTCAGCTGGACTGGGGCAGGCAGCAATAAGATTTCAAACCAAAAGAGGGCTGATAAAGGTTTTAATTTCACAAAAAAAATCTATCTACACATTGTTTAAAAGGCAGGGGGAGGGGAACAAGAGCAAAATCTGTAAAGAATAAGAGAGGAACAGGTCTGCTAAAACACAGAGAAAAGTGCTGCTCCACATCAACAGTGTAAAGAACCAGAAGTCAGGCTGCAAGCAGGCAGACACCAACCCTGGGATGGGGTGGCTCTGCAGCAGGTCCTCAGCTGCATATCCCTCAGCATCCCAGCAGCACCCAGCAGGACTGGGGTCCCACACTCCTTTATCTCTCTTTGGCAGGCAGTTACAGGGATAGTTAGCTCCATGAAAAGAAAACAGAACAGTTGAATTCTTCCCAAGTCTCCTCAGCTCCTCCATCACTGAAGCACACAGTCCCCACATGCCTGGTGCCAGGGTGAACTGCAGCAATGCTGACTGCTACAGGCAGTGTGCTGGACACACACCCCAGTCACTGTGCTGCACAGGATGGGAGGAAAGGTGAGCAGGCATTTATCACCAGTGCTGAGCAGAAGTGGAAGGTGATGTCACAGCCTCAAACTTCAGAGCCCTGCTCCTCGTGAAGCAGCTGCAGTCAGTCCTTGCTCAGCACAGGCTCCAGTCCATCGACATGAGCATTCTCACATCTATCAGAGTCAGAGGAGCAAACTTGGATCAAATCATCGCAGTCATACAGTGCAGGGAGAGAGGAAAGGCAAGATGGCAGTTCCTTGGGTTTGTAAGCTGAATCACACTTTGACTACCCTAAGCTGATTCAGGAGCAGGTCAATGTTTAACCCAACTCTGCAGAACTGAGGAAGAGCCAAAGAAGGGTTTGTAACATGCCAGACCTGTCACTTGCATACAGCCAGTCCTGATCCATCCCCACTCTGCACCAAAGAGCCCTATGCCCTGGCAGCAAAGTGCCTGCACAAACAGCTGCTGTTATGCTAAGGGCCAGGAGCATTTGCAGGGCTCTAAAGTCATTTCCTCTCTGGAGCAGCCCATGCCAGAAGCCTGCACACACTAGGGGACTGCCACTGAGCATCTCTACCCACCTACAAGCCAGGACAGGGAGAAGCTGAGTGTTCTGCTGTACCAGAAATGTCTGAGCACAGAAGGCTGCTCACCCCCCATTCCCTACCGCTCAGCAGCAGCAAGGAAGAGGCTCTGCAGCCCCTGCTGCCAGGGTGACATGCCACCAAGCCGCCATGTGCCAAAAAAAGCTTGAAGTAATTCACAGATGTTTGCAAATTCTTTCCAGCTACAATAATAAACAAGAACTTTGTTTTCATGGAACATGGACTGCTGGATTCAAGCATCAGCTTTCTCACCTCATTCCAAGCAAAAAATCGGTTTTAAACAAAAGTTAGCGCATTGGGAATTTGGGCAATGTTTGCTTTTATTATAAATTAAATGGAGCACAGTGCCTTCAAAACCGTCCTGAGAAAGGAGAGCTGACTGCTGATCCTGCAGGAACACCATCAGTTATGTACAGCACTAGTGTAGGATGCAATTGGGGAAAACATCTGCCCCCTGGATGGAGCAACCAATCACTTCTCCAGAGGCCGGAGCAATGGGTTCAAAGGATACCTTGTGCCTCACCTCATCCTCCCATCACCCAGAATCCTACCACAATCAGGACTGACAATAGAAAAGTATAATGCTTTGTAATAAATTAACATATACACTGCTTCGGCTGCATCTCACACGATTGAGATTACAACCAAACATTCACTCCTCCTTTGGAAACCACAAAGATGTCACCCTGGCCGTGCCCACATAAGCAGGGACCAGGAGGTCACTGGGGCTTTTCACTTCCTAAAGGGCTGTCACTGCTGCCCCTCACTGCTGCACAAGGAGGGGAGGAGAGGTCACTGAAGCAGCACCCCATAATAGCCCACTGGGACAAGCCCTGGTATGGAAGTGCCCACAAGAAGAGGTGCCTGCTGTCAGTTCTGCACAGATGGTTCTGCCTGCTTTGCTTCAGCTGATTTATTCCTGAGAAACTCCTAACAATAGTTTAAAAAACCCAGAAACTATCTTGACAGCAAAAAAAATGTATTGTGTGGTTTTTTTTTCTAAAAGAATTCTTTCACCTCTAAAACTCAAGCTGCAAAAACCAGAACTAGAGGCCAAAACAAGATCAACTACTCTGCTTAATAGCAACAGTTTCTCTGAAGTAAGTAAATGCCAGCAAAAGGAAACATCTGCCCCTGCTAAATAAGTGCGAAGGTGCTAAAAAAAATTTAAGTCAATAGGCATTTTTTTCTCCCCACTGAAACAAGCTATAAAATGAGTACCTTGGAGCTAGCCTCATTAAACATGCTCCCAAACTGTCCTGTTAGCACTGAACACAAGCTTTCTGAAAGCTTTCCACCTGCTTTAGTCACACAGCTGGAGCATTCTGCGCTCCTCAGTAAGAACAGCCACAGAGCTGCAGTGAAATCCCTTTTTCTGCACCTGTGACAAGGGAAGACCAAAGAAAGACCACGGTTCAACCAAAGAGTGGCAAGCAAGGCACTGCAGGCCCTGCCTTCTTCCCATCATTTCCATTTCACGACAGCTCACGGCTGCACAGAACAAGGCAAGATGAAAAAGCAGCTGTGGTTCAGCTCCTGTTCTCTACCTACTCCAGGTGTCACCCAGCAAGCTTGGGTCAGTTACATCAAAGCAAGCCCTAAGCAACATAACTTCAGCAAGGAACACTGCACACCTCTTCTCCAAACTTACACAACAACGTAGTGAAGAAAACACAATCAAATAATAATACTTGTAAAATAAATCACATGTATAATCTCACCACTAAAGGAGGATGACAGTGAATGGCATCAAAGAGACAGAGCTGCCACCAGGTATGCAATACATTCCACAGCACCAAGAGTTTGTTTCCTGGAACTGCATGTCACCAGCAGAGAGCTTACAAACCCACCAATGTCAAAACACATCAGTTCAGTGACTGCACAGCGAGATGACTGCTGAGAGCGTACTCTGGGAGCTGGGCTGCCAGTGAAAATCACCAACACAACACACACCAGCTAACAGAATCTATTGCTTAAACTGGTTTTGGAGAAGGAAAAAAAAACAACAGAAAAGAGCCAAGTGATATGTAAATCTTCCCCACTCACATCTGGTCAGTGAATGGGCTTTTGAAGATGAGTCTCTTTTTGCACAGTTTTTCCTTTTAAATCAGTCTGTGAGCAGCTGTAGTCTTGTGGCTTGATGCAACTCTTTAAGGCTCCATGCTGACAAAATTGTTTGAGGAACAATAAAAACTTCACCACAGGAGGATCGCTCCAGGATGTCAAGGTTGACAACTGTGGTTCGGGCCGAGGACTTGCACAGATGGTTCTGCAAAATGTGAGCATCCGTATTTCTACCATTTGTCTGTTGTTTTGGCCCTGAGCTGTTTGTTACTCCTGCACGTCTGGCACAAGTTCAGGATTTTCTGTGCTCCTCAAGAGGTACGAGGTGTTGGACTCCTCACAGCGGCTGACGGATCGATCTGCCTACTTCCATGCTAAGTGGCTGTGCACTTTTTTCTGTTTCTAGTAATTCATCGAAGATATCCCTAAAACACAGGGGAAGAGCAACAGTGAAACTTACGTACAGTAAGCAACCGCTATGCGAGACAGCCCTGAGGGAATCAGCAACTGGATTTAATCCACAAAGCTCAAGCGTCACAGCGCTTGGTAGAGAAAGGTGTCTTATCTGGCATTTCTCAGAAAGGCTCCTTGAATCCCCAAGCATTTTCTTTTCATTTATTACAATGAATAAGACCATTGGTAAGCTCCAGAGAACAGTAACAACAGTTAAAGTAAGTCCAGGCTAGTAATAGGATCTGTAGGAACACAAGACACAGTCTGCAGAGATAGTGTAGTATCTTTTACTACAGGGACCAGAAAACACATAAAAAGGGAACAAACTGAGTTACAAAAGCCCTTCATCAGTTGTGTGCCTGATAAAGTATTACTTTTATCTACAAATCTCATCTTGCTCATGTCCTGAGATGACCATGGATGCAACAACACAACCACTAGAAGCACGGATAAGGGTATTTACAAATCTTACCGCAAGTAAGGACAAAATCCAAACTCCATTTTGAATCTTGGTACAAATAACGAATGGCTGAGACACCAAATCCAGCTTTTCAAAAGATGATTTAATGTACCTTGTTAAAATACTATACACTAGTGACATATAATAACAAACTCACTGCACTTCAATTTGTCATGCCTGTATAAAATTTTGACTAATTTCTTCTGACCCATATACAGAGACACTCCTCACCCCATCAAAGCAGAATAGAGAAGAAGAGGTCTGCTATAACAAACAGTACCAGAATGCCCCAGGCCACCTACTTGTGCATGTAGAAGAAGATGTAGCCACTTCTGTCTCTGTCACACTGGACAGTGGTTTCTAGAGTTCTAGACACTTCCAGATCATTGTAGGTGAACCAGGATTGCTTCTTGATATCATAGACATCGCTGATATAGTGACCTTAAAAACACAGAACATACTTTTCATGCTGCACTTCAGCCAGTAAGCTAGTTAGCGGGATGCCTTGCTCAGATTTAAAATGCTAAAACATCCCTAATATCCTGCATGCTCTGCCTTTGCTAGCCAGTGAGCTAGTGATAAGCACTAGCAATGCCACAGATCCCATAGCCAGCACTGAGCCCAGATGCCTCATATAGGCACAATGACACCCTCACCCCACTTCAGTGCCAGCAACCCACAATTAAAGAGCTGCTTTTTTTTCTTTTCTGCTCCTGCTGACCCTAAACTCCTCTCTACAAATAACCCTGATATGGTAATTTTGTTTTGCAGATTTTTAATCTCAATAAGAGACGAAGAATAAAACAATGTCTTTTACCTGAAGATGATGTGCTTCCAATGTGGCTGACAATGCTGATGAGGCGATAGGAGTGAGGCAGCTCTCCTGTCTAAAAACAAGGTCCAATTAAAGTTTAAGTATTCACTTTTGTCCCATGTAACCCATGGACAAGGTGATTTATACCTGAAATATGGGTTTTGGCTATTGTGTTTAAAGCTGCAAAAGGATTACAGCAACAGACACCCTGGCTCACACCAATGAAGAGTCCTTCAAGAAGTGGGGAAAAGCTCCTGACTTTAATTTGATCTTTGAGCA